TCTATGTCCTCTATTATTTATTATTATTATTATTATCCACTAAACTCAATTTGTGCTGACCACATACTTTGGGTATGGGGCCATTTGGAGCATGGGTGTCCTAGAAAACACTTTAAAAAATTGGGGGAGATGATATATGCAGATTCAATATTAATAGACATCAGATTCAAAAGATGACAATGAACGGCCAAGGACATTCCCTGGGTTCCACCTGCTCTTACACTGCCACCCCAGGGCCAGTGGCTGTCACTGGTGTGCTTCTCCAGCCGTTGTCTATGTTGATAAACATGTAACCCCCTTTCCTATGAAGGCAAACCATAACATTTCTCACTCTTGGACACTACTTGAAGGTGTGGAGATATGACTAATAATGATGATTTCAGAGGGAGGTGAATGAGAATGTTCCAGAATTAAGTGACATAAGCACACTACAGCCACTAAGTTGTACACTTACGGGGGATGGATTTTATGGTATGTGGGTTATATCTTGATGAAATTGTTGTAAAACAAACGAAAATCTACCCTGCATGACACACAAAACTGTTAAGTGAATTAAAAATAAATAGATTTATTCCTATTTTATGAATTTGCAATGGTATCCCAGAATTTGCTTCATCTGAGTACTGTATTTGTTTGTGTGTCCAAATGCCAATGCTCTCATGTGTGCATGTGTGGTTTCACAAGTGTAGCTGGGCATTGGTGGCGCACACCTTTAATCCCAGCACTCGGGAGGCAGAGGCAGGTGGATCTCTGTGAGTTCAAGGCCAGCCTGGTCTCCAGAGCAAGTGTCAAAAATAGGCTCCAAAGCTACACAGAGAAACCCTGTCTCGAAAAAACCAAAAAACCAAAAAAAAAAAAAAAATCCAAAACAAGTGTATGTGAGCACCTGTTATGAGCATAAGTCAACCTGTAGCTCTTTAGTTATCACCCACCTTGTTTATTTGAGACAGGGTCTCTCATCACCCTGGTGCTTGTGGTTCAGACAGGATGGCTGCTCAGAGTGGCCCAAGCACCTACCTGCTCGGCCTCCCCACTGGTGGGATCACAAGCACGGAATCTGGAGATCCGAGTCAGATTTCTAAGCTTTCATGGCAAGGGCTTGACCAACTAGCTCTGGCCCCATCTCATGCCGGCTCCATCTCATGTCAGTGCTTTCGAAGTAGTGGATGGGTGTGGACAAACCTTATCTGAAATGCATGCTAATGGCCATTCCTTTTTCAGTCTTGTGTTTTTTTTTATAATGTTGCATTGGATATCTTCACATACAGGTCATTTTTTTGAAATCCTAGGTTCCATGAGATACACCTGCAAAAGGAATTGTTGGGGCAAAGTGACTGCATTTAATGTGTGACTGATGTCGCTGAAATGTTATTCCATGAAGTTGCCCTAATTTATCCCTTTGTTAGCCATGTGCCATAGGCTTGCTGCCAGCATCCTTACGCCACAGAGAGGCACTAATCTTTTGATCTCTGCCAATCTGATCAGCAGATCCTAGTATCTCCAGCTTGTAAGTTTGTCTTTTGTCTTCAGGGGCGAGGCAGCAAGGATGGTTCTACCCCCTATCTCTCAGAAGCTCTAGTAGTGAGTCTAGGACAGTGGAGCAGTGTGGGAATGAAAGGTCAGGGCTCACCTTCCCTGGAAACACTGTTTCCAGAACAAGGCGGGAATGAGTATGAAACTGCTGTGTCGTCATTCATCACAAAGGTCTACTGGTCACTTCTGGCTGGTAAGAGGGCAACTTATCAGGTAGGCTCCTCAAGACTGTGTGCTTATATTAAGAAACACACATAAAGATGTTCAGGGATATCAGTTGAAGGGTTTGAGACTGGGTATTGCTGCACACCTGGAATCCCAGCTCTTGGGAGGTTGAAGCAGGAGGATCAAGAATGCAAAGGCATACAATGACTACATAGAGAATTTGAGGCCAGCATGGGGTATGTGAAATCCCGCCTCAGAAACAAAAGAATGGGTACCATTGTGTGTAACACAAGTAAATAAAAGACCCAGAGACTGATATTTGGGTTCAAGCTTCAAGCTGAGTATCAGAAAAGCAAAACAGCTGGCCCTTAGCTTCTTATCTCTACCTCAGGCTGAATGGGCAGGTCCTATCTCCATAAGCTAGCACCAACCACAGACTGTATCCCTTTCTCAGCATGGCTGGAGAATGAATGCTCCTATCTTCAGTGTGGCTGGAGAATGAATGCCTCTCTGAGACCTTGCTTCTGTCTTATATACTTCCCTAATGTTGGGATTAAAGGTGTGAGTTATAATTCTCTTTTAGACAGTTTCACTCTTGTGTAGATCTGGATGGCCTTGGACTCACAGAGATATGTCTATCTCTTAATCCTGAGTCCTAGGATTAAAGGTATGTACTACCACCTCCTAGTTTCTGGCAGCTGGGATTAAAGGTGTGTGCCTGGCTTCTATGGTCTGAGGCTGATTTTGCTTAATAAATTATAAACAATATCTCACCACAAGTGTGTTCACATGGGTCAGGCTTACATAAAGTGACTAGGGTTACTTTATGACCAATGGAGAAGAACCTGCAGCTTTATTTGTGATTTTTTTTCTTTTTTTAGGAACTGTCTACCTTGATCATGCAGGAGCCACCTTGTTCCCCAAGAGACAGCTAACAAACTTCACTAAGGATCTCATGGAAAATGTCTATGGTAAAGAACATCACACACAGAGATTTTAGCCAACTACACACAACTGATTAACTGATTAATTTGAGTTTATCCATGCTGGCTTCATGGAGTACATGGCAAATACCTGGAGCAAGATCAGACCCATGCCAGATAGAGGGTCTGACCAACACCCTGGGTCATTGTGCATCATATACATGAGTCTGAGGTAGAAAGTTTTGGCTCAGAGACATAAAGACTACTTCTGGAATGGGTTTGTGTCAGGAAGAAAATATATGTTTGAAATTGCTGTGTTGGGTGGTAGTAAAACACTGTACAGTGCAGAGGGTATGGGGGCATGAAGAACATTCATTCACTTACTCTGTGCATTCCCTGAGCCACTATGGTGTGTGGTTTGTAGTGCTATAACATCAAAAGAAAGCATAACACCTTTCTTGGTGGAGACCTGGAAGACAAGACCTTAATCAAACAATCTCCTTAATCAAATGTGCTTAGCAACTGTTCAAAAGGCTGTGCATGAAGGCAGCTGGAATCATGGGCATCTGCATTTGCAGAAAGACAATAGTGTTGGCAGTGTGCATGTTAGGGGAGTTGGGAGAGGAGCACATGTTGGATGATGAGCCTGAATTCGCTGGGACAACAGGAGGAGATACCATGGAGGCGGTTGTAATGGCAAAAGCCAGGATCTAGGACCACAGATGGGAGGAGAATGGCAGAAGTCTGAATGGATAGGGTGTTGGGGTAGGGCCATTCAGGGTACTGCAGGTGATGCAGTGGTGGTCCTTATTCTAGGAAGGATGGATAGTCATCAGGGGCATTCAGCAGCAGTAGAGTGAGCTCAGGAGATAAATCAGAAGAGATATATAATGCTAATATCAGTTGATCAACACACCACTCACTGAACACGTGTCATGTTATCAGGGGCTGCCTAAATGTGTGGCATGTATTACTGCCATGCATCTGTATGACATTCTAAGAGCCATAGATTGTGTTATTAAGCTTATGTAGTATAGTTGTTCCTTCCAAGTAGGACATGGCCTTCATCTGGAATCAGAGCACTCTGGTCACCTGTATAAGTCCCTCACAGGATGGGGCCCATTGACAGGCCCCTGTAGAAGGCTAATGGAGGGCCTCATAGGACTCAGTAGTATTCTCAAGATCCCCAAGGCCACCACCATCCCCAAGCTTTATACAAGAGAAAAACAGTTGACTGTGTTGGGACTATGCTGTAGTTGGTAAACTGCCTATAACTTCCCCAGGGGATGGTGTAGCTATCTTTGAGTGACCCACATTCTTGTGAGTAGCCTCAGGAAACTCACTGGCTTACCAAGCTTGTCATGGATGGGTCTTTGCTTTGGCCTTTGATGTTCACGTGTCTCGCTGGGAATAGTCTCCTGACACCTTGATTTACAGGCAAGCAAATGGAGCCCAGAAAGGGCAAGTAACTAACCGAATGCTACACATTTGGACTGTTCTGGAGCTGGGGGAATAGGGCCACAGGAGCTGTATCCAGGTGATTTGGCTCCAGAGCCTAAGTCCAGGTCCTCCCACCCCAAGATGCCCCTGTTCATGACAGGAGTTTGAGTCTTCACACTGGGCAGTCAGGAGATCTTTAAGTCTGAGGAATCCTCAGAGAAGGTGCCACTGAGAGATTTTATCTTGATTTGCAGAGACCTGAAATTCTCCTTCTGCAACCTTGATAAAAGCCATAACTATGGGAAAGAAGCCTGAGAGATGGCAGCTTCAAGATCCAAGTGATCCTAAAGACACAGGGTTAAAAACTGAGCTTAGGAAAAAAGGCAACAAGAGAGTGTGTGCCAAGTCTCACAGTGTGGTAGTTGCAGTGGCCACATCCAGTATGACCCTTTGATGTAGGTTAGGGAAGAATATAAAGCAAACAGGCCAAATCTGCATCAATGTGTACGACTTGTCCTTCTTTGGGAACGTGAATGCCTGGCTCTGCCAGTTAGGCCTTTCCAGAAATCAGTATTTGCACCTCTTCCTAGGTGCCACTTGGTTTTACAAATAAGCAGAGTGGTTTTGAGTTATAATTTACACATTATAGCACTCACCCAATTCAGTTGTGCAATTCAGTGATTTAAGAAAAGTTTAAATTGGGGGCTGGAGAGATGGCTCAGAGGTTAAGAGCACTGACTGTTCTTCCAGAGGTCCTGAGTTCAATTCCCAGCAACCACAAGGTGGCTCACAACCACCTTGAATGAGATCTGGTGCCCTCTGCTGGCATGCAGGCACAAGACTGTATACATAATAAATAAATAAAATCTTAAAAAAAAAAGAAAAGAAAAGTTTAAATTGCTTTATTATTTTAAGTGTGTGGGTGCTTTGTTTGCATGTATGTCTGTGCACCACTTCTGTGCACTGCACTCAGAGGCCAGAAGAGGCCACAAGAGTGTCAGGTCCTTCAGAACTGGAGTTACAGATGGTTATAAGTTGCCTTTTGGATGCTAGGAATTGAACCTAGATCTTCTAGAAGAGCTGAAAGTATGCTTAACCACTAAGCCACATCTCCAGGCCCTTCAGTAATTTTTAGGTGTTCCCAGTGAGTGATTCAACCATCACTATATGTCTGTTAGACATTCTTATTTCTCCATGAGATTCCCCAACCATCCATAGTTAAATCCATTAACTCATCGCTTCCATTTTCTCTCTACTGGCCTCAGTGGACATTTCTTATAAATGAAATCATACAGCACATGTAGCACGAAATCCCAGAGACAGATATTGGGGTTCAAGCTGAAGATCAGATAAGTAAAGCAGCCAGCTACTAGAGAGTTCTCTGTAGATGAAGTTTCTGTCTCACCCAGTCCCTCAGCCGTTTAATCACAAATAAACACACAAAGGCTTATACTAATTATAAATTGGCTGATGGCTCAGGCTTCTTATTGGCTAGCTGTCTCTTACCAACCCATTTCTATTAATCTGTGTATCTCTACATGGTCTTGGTTTACTGGTGATGCCTAGGACTCTTTCTTCCTAGGCAACTACATGGGCGTCTCTTTCCCGCCTCACCCTCTGCTTTTCTCTTCCCAGAATCCTCCTAGTCAGTAGCCCTTCCTGTACTTCCTGCCTGGCTACATCCTATCTGTCCATTGGCCAAACCATTTTTATTCATCGACCAATAAAGAGAAGCATATATTTATAGCATGCCAAAGAACATCTCCCATCAGTTCTCACCTCTACCAATGCTCAGACTGAAGGGGCCATCCACCAAACCTCAAACTGCTCCCGACTATACTGCTTCTCAGACTCTCCAGAGACTGCACTAAGCCTTATATTCCTCTCTAGGGCTGGGATCAAAGGTGTGAGCTCTCTTTCTCCTTAAGACTGATTCACTCTCATGTAGAGTAGGGTGGCCTTGAATTCTCAGAGATGCATCTGCCTCTTTCTCCCGAGTGCTGGGATGAAGGTGTGGCCTATATGGCTAGCTAGTGGCTTAGTGTGTGTGTAGCTAACTAGTGGCTTAGCTCTGCATTCTGATCTTCAGGTAAGCTTTAATTGTTAGGTTACAAACAAAATAGCACTTCAAGCATGCAGCTTCTTATGACTGGAGTGTTTTAAAAATATTTTATTAGAATATATTAATTATACATAGTAATGGGTTTTATTATGAAATTTTCATATATGTATATGTACATGTATCCTGATCATTATCACCCCCATGACCTTCACCTGTCCCCTTCCCACTTCTGCATACTTCCTCCTTCTTTTCAACTAGTCCCCTTCAGCTTTCATGTCTTTTGGGAGACATGGTTGAGAGATTATTTATAGGACCATGGGCACCTTAACCATTTTCTACTTCACTGAAGGAAATGTCTACTCCTCCCATCAACCATCAGCTGTATATAGGTATTCCAGGATGGCTAAGTCCTTATAAGCCCCTATCCTACTCCATGATGGAGTGTTAATAGACCCAACCATCTTCAGGTCTGGTGATCACGATGGTGATCACAGGTGCTATGAGTTCAAGGGAGCAATAGCCATGTTATGTCTAGAAGACAGCATCCTAGAATACTCTTCCTCTGGCTATTACATTCCTTCTGTTCCCATTTCCATGAGATCTCCTGAGTCTTGGAAAGGTCATAGAAATGTCCATTTGTGGCTGAGTGTGGTGATATATTGTTTATGATTTATTAAAGCCACTGGAGGTCAAAATATCAAAGCAGCCATACTAGTTAACCATAGAATCCAGGCACACACCTTTAATCCCAGGACTCAGGAGACAAAGGCAGATGGATCTTGTTGAGCTCAAGGCCATCCAGGGCTACATGAGATTGAATCATTCTAAAAGAGTAACAGCTCACACCTTTAGTTCCAGCACCAGAGAGGTATAAAATATAGGAGCAGAGTCTTCAGTAGTCAGTCTTAGGCATGGGTTCTCCAGCCACGCTGAAGAGAGGCAGCAGTCTAAGACTTGTTGAGAGCTCATGGAGACAGGATCAGCCCTTTTAGCCTGAGGTAGCGGTAAGAGGTAGTGGCTTGGCTGCTTTGCTTCTCTGATCTTCAGCTTGAAGCTTGAATCCCAATATCAGTCTCTGGGTCTTTAATTTTAGTGTTACAGCTGAGCATTCAACAGTCACTTGTTCTCAGCACTTTGACAAGTTATATGTCTCTGCAGTAATTGCCACCAACTGCAAAACAAACAAACAAAAAAACCAAAACATTTCTGACCAAAACTGAGAGTATCACTAATCTATGGGCATCAATATTAATATTCACAGATAGCTTTACAGACACATTGTATCTATTTATTAGAATAACAACAATAGTTTCCTTACTAGGGCCCATGACATCCCTAGCCACAGGCTTTTGACCATGTTTACAGTTCCAGATGTGAACTACCTGCCATGGCCTCAATCAGAAAGCAGTTGGTTTTCTTCATAGTAGTTATTCCACTATTACAGTGTGGGCATAATTTTTCTCACAGCAGCCTATTAAAGCTTAGCATGTTTCTGATGTTCATTGCTATAATAACTAATAGTTTTTTTTCTTTTTTATTGCCAAATCGTTGCCCACTGTATGGGGATTGCTATACTTGCCTGTCTGTTCATAGTCACTGACCGTTTCTGCTCCTTCCAGAATTTGGCTTTATGACTAGAATTGATATGAACATTTGTGTAGTCTGTATGGATATAAGCATTTATTCTGTTTGAGTAGGTACCAAGAATGGAATAAGTTCTTGAGAAATGGAGGCACAGGGCTTTGAAGGAACACAGGGAGAGACCTCATTATGATTCTAAAGCTTTGTCTCTGTAACCTGCCAGGTAACCCTCACAGCCAGAACATCACCAGCAGGCTCACCCATGACACTGTGGAGCAGGTCCGCTACAGGTGAGCCCCAGCCTACCTCAGATGGTTATGTAGGTGGATGGACTTCCTAGTAGAAGCCTGTATCCCACAAAACTTCTGAGGGGGGCTCAGAATGAATTCAGGTAAAAAGCAACATATGAATGACAGTAACCAGGAGGTCAGAAGACAGAGGACAAGAGTAAGTACAGTATGGATTGAGAAACACAAGATGCTGGCTCTGCGTGGATGCTGGAGTGACAGTGGCTCAGGTTTCCAGCTATGTCTTCAGAAAGATGCACCACTTAATGGTTTACCTTTTCATAGATTGCTTTATTAGAGATTTTCATTTATTCTTAATCCCACTATCATTTTGAGACAAGGTATGTGGTAGCTTGCCTCTAGCTCTCTTTTGTAGCAGTGCTGGCCACGAACTCCTGATCCTCCTGTCTTCGCTTTCTAACTGCTGGAATTGCAGATGTGCACCACTGTGCACAACTACCCCATTATTTTCACTGGTTCTTGCATGTTAGAGAGCTCTTTAATTGTTTTCCATGCATGAGAACCAGTTTCTGATAAATGATCTCCAAATGGTATAGGTTACTTAAACAAACAAAATTCAGGTTATTTCAAATTTGAAAGTGGTATCAGTTTTAGATCAGGATGCCTATAGTAAAAGCAATGCAAAACAGGATGTTTAAAATTCATTGTGATAGGGGCTAGTGAGATGGCTCAGAGGTTAAGAGAGCTTACTACTCTTGCAGAGGACCTGGGTTTGGTTCCCAGCTCCCACGAGGTGGCTCCTAACTATCTATAATGAATTCTTGGGAATCTGATGCCTCCTGTCCTCCATGGACACCTGCACACACATGGTGCACTTAATATATCCAGGCAAACAATAAGAAAATAATAAATGAATAAATATCTTTTAAAAATTCATTGTGATAGAGTAAGAGGAAGTACAAAGATGAAGGTGTTCTCAAATAATAGGTTGTTAGAGATTTAAAACATTTTTTAGATTTATTTATTTATTTGATGTGTATGAGTGCTTTGGCCACATGTATATATGTGCATTATGTTCATGCCTCATGCACACAGAGGTCAGAAGAGGGTGTTAGGACCCTTGGAACTGGAGTTACAGATGGTTGTGAGCTACCAGGTAGGTGCTGGGAATCAAATCCCAGTCTTCTTTAGAAGCAAGAAATGCTTTAAAATGCTGAGTCATCTTTCCAGTCACCTTACAGATTTAAAAAATGTAATTCATTTATTAAGAAGGTCTGTTCCTGCACCTGAGGGCTCTCTGGAGCTTACTATATATGCTGGCGATCTTCCTTCCTTCCTTCCTTCCTTCCTTCCTTCCTTCCTTCCTTCCTCTCTGTCTCCATCTCTCCTGTCTCTTTCTTTCTGAGACAGGGTCTTGTGTTTCTGAACTCACTAGATTGCTGAGGATGTCCTTGAACTTATCATCTTCCTGCTTCCATCTCCTACATTCTGGGATTGCAGGATACAGTGCCATCTTGGGTTTATGAAATACTTGGGACTGATCCCAGGGCTCTTGGGTTTTAGGCAAGCTTCTCCTTCAGCTCTATGCTTTAGATTTCTGCTGTGTCTAAGCAGAGAAGGGACTCCAGAGGTAAGAAGTTGAAATTTGATCTTTTCAAGAATCCAAGGTTATGATTAGCCAAATGAAAAGTTCAAGGCCAGCCTATAATGTATGACTTCCTCTACTCTGCCTTAACTACAAAGCTGTGACTTAGTGTCTCTGAAGGTGAGCTGTCCTACTGAGTAGACATACAACTTGGAAACATTCTGCACGGAGCAGAGACACAGCTGTGACAGTGTGCTTCTTTCCAGGATCCTGGCTCACTTTCACACCAATCCAGAGGACTACAGCGTGATCTTCACAGCTGGGAGTACAGCTGCTCTCAGGCTGGTGGCAGAGGCATTTCCGTGGGTGTCCCGGACCCCAGAGAACAGTGGGAGTCACTTCTGTTACCTCACTGATAACCACACCTCTGTGGTGGGAATGAGGAAGGTGGCTTCATCCATGGATGTCACATCCACCCCAGTCAAGCCGGAGGACATGTGGTCAGCAGAGGAAAGGGGTGCTGGAGCCTGTGACCCTGACTGTCAGCTGCCACACCTCTTCTGTTACCCAGCTCAGAGTAACTTTTCAGGCACCAGATACCCACTGTCATGGATAGAGGAGGTCAAATGTGGGCGGAGGAGCCCTGTGAGTGTGCCTGGGAGGTGGTTTGTGCTGCTGGATGCGGCCTCCTATTTCCGCACATCTCCCTTGGACCTGTCAGCTCACCAGCCTGACTTTGTCCCCATCTCCTTCTATAAGATCTTTGGGCTTCCCACAGGCCTGGGTGCTCTGCTAGTCAGTAAGCAGATGGTGCCTCTGCTGAGGAAAGGCTACTTCGGAGGAGGGACTGCAGCTGCCTACCTTGCAGGAGAAGACTTTTACATCCCTCGGACATCGGTGGCAGAAAGGTAACCTTACTGTCGTATGTGTAACAGGCAGGCTGGCATGTGTGACCCATAAGATTGTGCAAGCAGAAGCCAGGTCTGGAACCCAGGTCAAGGGAGTTTGGTGTCACCGTAGGACAGTCTGGGGCTGGGCTCAGATCTGGGAGGCAGAGATCAGCTGGGTGGCTCTGTGAACACTGCACTGCACTGACCTCTGCAGCTTCTTCACCCTGGTGGAGGAGCAGATCTGCAGATAAGAGCTTCTAGAGGAAGGACTGAAAAGCTCGTGGGAAGATAAGAGCAGTGGATCCAGGCTTTGGCCTGGTGAGAGATGACAGTGATCAACGGTGATCTTAAAAGGTGCTATTCTGTGCGCATGTGCAAGCAGTTCAAAACAAAATCGCTTTCCCAACAGCTAGAGTGAACTCTGCTAAACTCCTCAGCAAGGATTAACTGAATCCAAACCCAAAACCTGGGGAGCAGTGTTGGTGGCAACCTCTGTGAGCCAGGTTGAAAGTGCTTACCCAAAACACCAAGGACAGGCTACCACTTGCCTTCCTGGTCTGTGGCCTTTTCCTCAGGCTGCAGGGCAGGCTGTGTGGCCTTGCTGAGCACCTTCCCAATGGGGGAAGGCGGGACCCAACATAGCTACTGATGAAGGGGACACCATGGGGTTGTGGTAAGGAACTAGTTACCCAACTGGCCTGAGCAGGAGGATGTCCTGATAGGATGCAGGAGAGCAAGGATGGTCACAGCGCCCCTGAGCACCAGGAGGATGTCTTGATAGGATGCAGGAGAGCAAGCCACAGGGCCCCTGATCACCAGAAGGATGTCCTGGTAGGATGTGGGAGAGACAGGGATAGCCACAGTGTCTCTGGGCATCAGGGGATGTCCTGATATCAGATGCAGGATAGTTAGGGATGGCCATAGGTCCTCCGAAGTGGTGTGTGACATTGTCCCTAGCAACCATGCTTGTTCTGAGGAAGCAGTGGGGACACTGTGGGCTGTTCCAGGGCTGCACCTCTGTGGGTGAAGGTTGCTGGCAGAAGTTTGGATTTATGCTTGAGCAAGCTTGGGCTGTGTCTTCAGTGGGTGAGTAGCCAAATTTAGTGGCCTCTGAAGTTCCTTCCTAATCTCAAATTCTGCAGGACTGGACAATCCATGCTTTGTTGTAATTTTAGAGCTGCTAACATATGGTTTGGAGACAGGCTCATCATTATAATTGGGGTTATGTAATACTATAAAAGGAAACGGTCCTTTAAGTGGGAAAGCTCAGGAAAGTTTACAGAGAAGCAAGGGAAACCACCATGGTT